ACATATATGAGCCAAGGACCTTTGCTCAACATGTCCCTGAACATTGCCCCAGTTCCCGGTTGGATTCCCCAGCTCCCCAATCTTCCCCGCAGCTCTCTGATCACTTCCCCCAGCTCTTCCTGGGAGACGTGGTCCCCAAGATGATGCGGGATGTCAGCAGGCTGCCTCTGCCAGCTGGTGATGATGGTAGCTCTGAGCTATTTCCCCAGCTGGCAGCAGCAGCCTGCTGAAACCCCATGTGCAGATCCAGGGGCCCTGCATGCAGGATGAGTGCAGGCTGCCACTGCTGTCAAGTGATATGAATCTTACTCTGAACAGTTTGAGGTTCAGTTTCCCAGAAACCCATGCACGTATCACCTTGAAACTTGGCATGCCTTCAGAAGGGGCTACCATCCCTTTTCATCCAAATAGGGCAAGAAATGACAAAAGTTATAGGCATTTTTGTGATTCCCTATTATAGCCTAGGGGCAAAACGTCAAAATGTGTTGAAATGGTGAAACGTTTTTGATGAAACAAAACAGAACAGTGTTTCGAAACAGCGAAATGGCGAAACGGAAGTCAAAACGAAATGGTGCTGTTTCACTCAGCCCTACTGACATTGTCTAAGCTGATGTTGAGGGCAAGCGTACTTGAGAGCATCAAACTCAATCCATGTAAAGAAAGTTCCAGGGTACTGGGACTGATTCATGGTTAGAGAGCCCAAAGCTGTCAGGCTAAATCTGGGGGGGGCACTGTTGCCTTGCCATATGCAATGAGTTAGAGTTGCAGAAGGCTTGTACTTCTGTTGAGTGACAGTAACCTTACTCTGGCTACTGTTGCAAGGAGGATCCTCCGCTTCTGCAAACTTACTCTTTTGAGTAGCCCTTACTTTGAATATAGTCCAACTAAAATTAGTGGGAATATGCGGACAAATACAAATGTTTCCAATATTGGGTTTCTCCTTATGATCTCCAAGTGTGGATCTTAGAGGGAGTAGTTTGTATCTTCAGGTGGCTAAATTAGCTGGAGAATTGAGTAAAAAGTAGGATTATATTGAAAAGCAGACGTTGCATCTTATCCAAACTTTCTTGGGTTAAGTTTGCTTTAAGAAGTGTTTGTCTCGTGATTGTAGCAGATGGTTCATTTTTTCTTTCACTGACTTGCACAGATCTTGCTGTACACTGTACGTGCCAGTTGCACAAAATATACCAATGGCTTTGCAGCCATGATTTTTCCTACCTTTTAAGATGTTAAATACAAATTTGCCTTTAGAACCTATATACGGGAATTGCTGCCCATGATGAAAAGAATATTTAAAATATATACAATATAAATTTCTAAAAATATAGACAAACAAACAAAACCTAGAACTATGCATGTACTAACCATAATTTTCCTATTTTTTTTTCCCAGCAGGGAATGCATGTTGAACAATACTGTTGTTGCCATGGTGATAATCTACCAGGATGGAATGCTGTAGACTAAAATCTGACTTAGAAGGCAGAGTGGATGCTTTAAACATGATGTTTTAAATCCAGTTTCTGACTGAATTTTATATTTTTGACTCTCATTTTACTTTATCTCAAGTTAACCCCACTTTTGCCAAGCATGATTGGAACATCACTTTTTCTTCTGTTTTTTTTTTTTTTCCAGTATGGCCATAGATATTAGGCACAATGAAGTCTGTTGCTACTAGAGTGAGAAATGGCATCATTCACTAAACTCTGCAGTAAGATTTTTGTCCCTTCAGTAAGTTTTGCTCAAACAAGCTCCTATTAGGACACAGTACTGAAGGAACTCCTATGTTACAGAGTCTGTTCCCTTCCTATCAGAGGCAGCCCTGTTGCAATAGTGTTCAAATTTAACTTATTAAGTCTGGGTACTTTTTGTTAATTTGCTTGAGGAAAGAGTTTTGGACTTGTCCCAAATGAGTTTCTAGAAAGAGAGAATGGTTTCCATTCCCAGCTTTGCCACAAATTTTTGGCTTGACGTTAGACAAGAAGGCCAGATTCAAAGCATAACTTTAATTATCTGGCCTGCGGTGCCTCAGAAAAGCAATTATAAAAAAAATTGTACAGACTAAGTAGGGAGCTGCCCAGAACTTGTTGACAGGAAAAGCCAAGCTGTAATAAGAGGAAAAAGTACAACAGGGATATGGAAAAAAAAACGGGGAACTGTTATTTACCATGTTTCGTAAGAGCTAAGGGATGCCCAATGAAATGATCAGGAAGCAGGTTTGAAAACAAAGAAGAAACTATCCTTTTTTTACACGGTGCATAATTAGCGCATGGAACTCATTTTTACAGGAAGCTGTGGAGGCTAGTAGTATAACTGGATCCCAGAAAGGGTTTGGACAAGTTTGTGGAGGATAAATCCATCGGGGGGACTATTAAACATAACAATTGGATATAATCTCTGGCTGGTGACTGGGAGGATATGACGGGGGGTTGGATCACCCTGTCTCTTTTGTATACTTTCTCTAATGCATCCACTTTCAGAGACCAGATGCTGGGCTAGATGGAACGTTGATATGACCCATTATAGCAGTTTTATGTTCTTATATAGGAAATGGGGATCATCACATTGCTGATAAGTTTAAACCTGTATTACTCTATATAAAAACTTATTGCTTAAAATAAAAAGGAGAAACAACAAAAAATAAAGACAACAAATTCTACAGGTGTTTTATATGTGGCATGTGCTAGTTAACTGGAAATCTTTATGTGAAATGAAGTAATTTGAATAACTTGGTAATTACCAGGTACTAGCATAGTTGTCATGAGTTCGGGGGTTTCCAGGAAATCCACATTACTCCTCTGGAATGTCTTACTGTAGTTTGTCTGCAGGTGGCTATATAAGTACATGTGATAAAAACAGAACAAGATTTTAGGAAGGAAAGAATATTTTGGTTGTCATATTTATGAAGTATTTGAAAAGAGATATTAAACCTTGTGCTTCAGGGCTTAAGCCACTCTCTGTTAGAGGCTAGGATGATAACATAGTAGGAGAGGGGCAGATTATCTCAGAGCTGTTTGCTATGTGATTCTAAAACCTTCCCTTGAGGCACCTGATTTTGCTAACTGGACCAGGTGGTCCATTGCTCTGAGCCCATATGGTAGTTTCTATGTTCCAGTGATGGTGAAGTACCTTTTCAATCCTTGTCATTTCCAGTTCTGAAGATAAATGCATACTGCTTGAACTACTAGGATGGATTCAGCAACAGAAGTGAAGGTGTAGGGTACCCAAAAGCAGTGGCTTCAGCCAAAGCAGAGATTCAGCTGAACCTTTTATTGTACAGTTCAGTTCAGAGAGAATTATTAATCTCTTCCCAGGTCCCTAAATCCTCTCTCCTCTCCAGTCTGGACTATAACTGATAGGCATATTAATTTCCAAGGCCCAAAAAGACTAATGAACTCCTGGGTTTGTTGTATTATGGGTTGAAAAACCTTGGTGGAAATTATAATGATTACTCAAATGTGCTCAAATGTTTTGCTGGACAGTGGCCTTTCTATCTCCTCCTGTGACTCCATCACTATTCGTTGTCAACAACCATATGCCAGTATCCTTTATTCCCCTGTTGTTTCCTTCTGTACAGCTGCTGTTCCTATTCTGATGACTCCCAGAGCTACATCTCTTCACCTTCAGCCTCTTCCTGCTAAAGTTAAACTTTCTAACACCTAGATGTTCCAATTCCATGTTAAGCTTATCTACAGCTATGAAACAGTAGTTGAATTTAATTAAAAAATGGATTAAGTAAATTAGAGTCACTTGGATGCAGTTGCTTTATAATTTTCAAATCACTCTGAAATGCAAAAGACTTTCTCACTCCTTACCTATTCCAAGCACTGCTGTTCTCCCAGAACTCATAGACAATGAAGCGGGATTCGCTAGAAAGCTTCTGTATGGAAACACTAAGAATTGTAGGACAGAATTAATATAATCCACCCCCACACAAAGTAATCAGAAAGCACATTTTCTCCAAGATGATTTATAATATAAACAAAACATAGAGGTTAATATCAAAAACATGCATACAGTAGCTGCAGGAACGAACATACGGAGTTAGAGGCATCTGGTATGAAAGATGGGAAATCCTTTCTATTCTTAGCTGTGATATATTGCATGATACTTGTAAGCAGCAAGGTTATGATGAACTCTTTTTACAAAGCTCACATATCATACTGTTTCCAGCGTTAGGGTTATTTTTCTCCCAGAGCTGGTTCAACATTAAAGAACATTAATCTAGCTCTGGTGTAGAACAGTTTCGTCTATCCTACAGAACCTCTCCTGCTATAGCAGTGCCAGCACACATGAGTAAGCAGAGCCCCCTAATGAAAACAGTGTTCACCATCAAAAGATACTCTGCCAGCAGAGCTGCGTGGCCTCCCCAAATTACATAAGCCGACAAATCCTTCATCTGTTGTCTTAGTAGCATCCACAATGGGGGATTTGCTGGCATGGCTGCATCAGCTGGGTGCATGTGATCTTTTCACATACACTGATATAGCTATGCCAGCAAAACTTTGTAGTACAGACTTGGCCTAAATCCACATAATGCACTGCAGTGCTCGGCCTTTTTAGACTCAAAAGCACCACTCAAACTGTCAGCTCTTAGCTCATGTTCATTTTTTGACTGAAAAAATAATAGAGCAATTCTGTTGCAAAGAACTCAGAAAGATCATAACAGGGCAGAATGTTTTTGATGGCATGGATTGACATCTTTGAGTTTGTCTTCTCAATCATGTGTAGGTATTTACACACCTAACAGCACTAATATTGTGTGGCACCCTTAAAGAGATCTCATGGCATCTGAGGGTGCTATTGCACCTTGGTTAAGAATCACTAGTATAGTGATTTCCACAAGGAGGAAAGAGGGGTAGGACTTTTCTCTGCTTGTGGATGGCAGTCCACAGAGAGGAAGCACAGTTGTGTAGTAAATTGCACTGAAGAATTACTTTGGTTGTTCTTTTTGAAATGTAAGAAATATATCAAAGTATGTCAGAACCTGAGTGCTGTGAAAGCACACAGCTAGGCAGTGCATAGAGATGAAATGATTACTGGCAGCTACTAATACTGTTTAACCAGTTTTT